CCCCTACAGATCCTCCCTCGTCCCGCGCCCAGGAGAAAAAGCCTGCAGGCCCGCGCATGCTCTGCACCATGCTACCCCGCACCCACGCAAAAAAGCCCGCGTGCCCTTATCGCCTGCGCCATTTTTCCCTTGCCCTGCCCCTGCACGAACCGGCACCGCCAATTTCCGCGCGCCTCGGTTTTCCCAGGGCCTCCACAAACCGCCGCCACCACCTTCTTCCCTTTCCCAGGGCCTCCGGCTCCGCCCGCATTTTCACTGCCCCGCGTCCTCCTTGTCCCGCGCCCCTCCACTGCCGCGCCGTTTGGGACCCACCGCCTCCGCGCCGGTTTCTGCTGGGCCCGGCGGGGGCGTCACGCTGGGCCCTTTGCTTGCTTTAAGGGTATAGAGAAGAGATGTGACGACGTTCTATTCTATTTCAGGTACCGCGACTCAGGCCAGCATGATCATCAGCACACACAAGTACACAGGCACACAACACAACACAAGACAGCAGGTAAGTCTGCCAACAAAATAATCACAACAATAGTTAGCATCTTTCCCCCTGCTGCTGCTTCTTCTTCGGTCCAGTGAGATCAACACCCAATCTGACGTCTGGCACCACAGCCACGTCAGTCTTCCAGCCGTGCCGCTTCAGTCATCAGAATGCAACTGTTACTACGGCACATCCGTGCCTGCCACGTGTCACCCCTGGCATGCCAACTCAGCAACTCATAGAGTATGCCACGTCAGCATGTCCAATCCAATCAAGGTCAACAATGGGGTGCACGTCAGCAATGTGCGTCGATATCGTTGTCGAGTTAGTCGTGTTCCTGCCTGCCACGTGTATCCCCTGGTATGCCAACACAGCAGAGCCTTGAGTCTGCCACGTCAGCACGATAGTCCAGTCAGCATCATCAGTGGGGTACACGTCAGGAGCGATACCAGCGCGTCGTACAATCCCACATCTGCCAGGTAATGGCGTGCCACGTCAGCCTGAAGCTCCTCACCACAGCGAATGAGTGGTAAGTCAGCAATGCCACGTCAGCACACCTCAACAATCACCGGCCACGTCAGCAATGCATCCTGATCGCAGATGCGATCGATCGGGATCTGGATCGCAGCGCAATCCTGCTCGATTTTCCCCCTGTCGGAATACCAATGCCACGTCAGCACCTGACGTGCGCTATTCCACACTTATCCACGTCAGCTCCTCTGTTGTAGGTGTCACCACTTCTTCGTCGTCGTCGTTCTGTACAGGTCATCGTCGTCAGTCACATCATCGGGAGTACAACTCCGATACCTAATTGTAATGAACCCAGATCGTGAAGACAGTTGTCAACAATGCAAGCCCAGATAGATGTCAACCTGCTGATGATTGTCAATAATCATAATCGTGTCCAGATAGAATGAGAGGAGAGAAGCATACACAGACGAAAGAGAGAGGAGGGAGAATAGACTTAGAGTGGAGAAGAAGACAATGCCCACTCCTGCTTCGGGCTCCCTAATCGATCGCCACCTCAATAATCAATAGTTCGAACACGAATCTGAAGTTTTATCTCAATGTGCCACGTGGTACGTCAATCAGTCCTCATCAGCGAGCTGGAGCAATGTCGACATTGAAATAACCAGGTATGTATCTACGATCGCCCCACAGTCACGATCTCCTCCCGAGTGACGATGAATCAGAACAGCAATATCAGTCACGTAGCCCCGCCACGTCAGCAACAGTACACGTGGCAGCAGCCACGTCAGCGACGGCGCATGGCAGCTGCCACGTCAGCATGCCCAGAAGACAATTGCCAGCCAGCCACCATGCCAAGCCAGCAGCGCATCGCCATAGTCGCCCAAGTGCCAGCGTGGAGCCAGCGTCCAACCAGCGTCAAGCCAGCGTCGTCGTCAACGCGTGAAGTCAGCTTCAACGCAAGACAGAATGTTCTCCAATCCAAGAGGTCAACGCTTTTGTAGCGTTGACGCGGGGTCTGGACCCCAGGTGCTGCCTCCTTCAGCCGTCGAGATCTCAATGCAATGACGGCCCAGATTGGCCTGAAACTGAATTCCCTCTGGCCTTGATGCTGTCTGGGTACCTGCGCACAACAAGTGAGTGTATCCGACCAAGGGCCTGGGCGCAGTACCTTTGTCCTGACAGTTAACTTATACTTTTGACTTTCCCAGGGCAGTGCGTGGTCACACTGCCTGGTACAGGCCGAGTTTGGCCTGTGTTGTCTGGGCTCCGTGACTGCTGCCGACAAGGGTTACTACAAATATATATCTCAAATCTTTTTTTTTTTTGATTGAAGATCCACCACGCTGAGGGCCGAAAGCCAGTGTGAATTCACAGCATCCAAGGTTTCATCTTGTCAATCTTCCCATTTTCCTGTGGATGGTGACCCTTTGCAAAAAACATAAGACAACAAAAAGGGGGTAGGGGGGAGAGAATGGCGATTTTCATACCCATTGACTCAGTTGCTCTTCCTCTTCCTCTGCCAGTTGTCTGGGTGATTTCCCCGTTATAAGCTCCATCAGCACCACACCGAAACTATACACATCACTCTTTGTTGTAAGGTGATGTGTATGAAGATACAGAGGATCCCAGTACCTGGGTTCGAAAACACATGAAGGCAAGTTAAGGAGCTGGTGATGAGTTTGCTGATCATCTTTGAGTCTGCCAATCATCTTCGAATATGAAGGCTATTGCAAGTGCACAATAATAAAGAGAGGCAGGCAGCCTGTAGTGAGTTTACGAATAGTCTTCAAGATGAGAAATTTTGAGTTTGCCAACTATTTTCAAGGACAAAAGCTATGTACAATCACTGTCCATGAAGAAATCACTGTCCATGAAGAAACAATGACAAAGACAGGTCTGCAAATTTCCTCCCTCTCCTACTCCTCTTTCTCCTTTCTGCCTAACCTTGGACAATAAACTCACCACATTCCAAATGGTTAATCGATTTTACATACATGCAAATAATAATAATAATAATAATAATAATAATAATAATAATAATAATAATTCCTGAAAAGTGGCTCTTCGGATTCCTTTCCCAGTGGCAAGTCATAGGTTATACAACTCGATATGCAATTGCTTCCTCCAATTATGACCGAAGGAACCCCTGAACGGCATTCGATTCCTCCTTGGCAGAGGATTGACTAACAACTTGGTCTTTCCATCTTAAAGCACCAGTATATGGGCACCTGGGCCGCTGGTCTGACACCTCAAATTCTGGAGGTGCGAAATGAAAACGCGGCCGCCGATTGAATTTATCAACGGCGGGCTGAGCGTTTGACATTTCGGCCTCGTTGTCTTGTGGTGACAAGTTTCGGACTGCAAGGCTGGGGCCGTGTACTTGTGGTTTAAGTTCCTCTCAGTCTATACGTCACGAGACTATTAGATGCACTTGAAACGCTGAAGAACCAGGGATGACTCCAAATATGGAACCTTCCCTTCTTCTAAGATGTGCTTCTCATCTATTGCCGAATCTATGTCCTGTCATTCCTTCTTTTTTTTATTAAAACAAGTGGACACGCCGCAGCAAAGCTGCGGCACAGAAGAGGGGCGCGACGAAAGGCAGGGAGGGAGGGCAGCAAGCAAAGATGCAGATGAAGGGCACAGAAAAAAAAAAAAAAAAACGGTAGCGAGGCTATTGGGAGGGAATTTCTAAATCAAAATTGGAGGAAATTTGGAGAGAGGACCACCAGATCCGGAAAAACAAACATGGTTTCACTGAAGGGGTGAAATTAAAAAAGGCCAGGGTTTCACAGAAGGGGGAAAAAAAAAAAAGGCCAGGCTAACAGGGTTCATGCCGGGATCCCACACTGCAACTGAACGTCGACTTTACACTTCTCCTCCTCCTTCTCTCCCACCCCCCTTCCTCCTCCACTTTCTCACCTCTACCGTCTCTCCCAAAAGCGAAGTTCAATCAGTCGACGAAACATAAATGGAATTCAATGGATGAGACGTTGTAAAACCACCTGGG